TGTGTATGATAAAAACAATAAACAAACACTAACTAGCGTCCTGTAATATTACGATGGCAGCGATGTTGTTGGTGTTGTTGATGTTGGTCATGTTTGTGTTGTTGATGTTGGTCATGTTGGTGATGTTAAAGTCGCTGCTTGATACATAGAGTGGAATCAGCGAAACAATAGTTGTCCACATAACAGCAGCCAGCACCAATAGGGAAAAGCCAAGTTTAGAAGGCCTATAAAATTAATAGAAGATGACAAAGTTCATTAGAGACACTCCGAACTCACTTTGTGCGTTTTAGCCTTAAATGAGCCATAGCTTTGCTTCAATTGAACGTGTGTTGTCTTGTAATAAAGGAAAATCTGAAATGAATTTCTATAAGAAAATTATGTGATAAAGAGAAGTTCGCTTGGGACTTGCGGTTTACAAGTTTCCGGTTATACATAAAATTCTCCTTTACAACTACCATCGTTCTATTTTCGACTATGCATATAAAGACCTCCAACTGTCTAAGAGCGATTGATGCTTGCTACTTAAGAAAAGCAAGTCAACAGTTACGAGTTGAGATTCGCTGAACACCTAACGTTGATAAATTTTAAATATTGAGCGCGCTTCTTTGGATGAAATCAAGTTGCTGTATTGAAACCATAAATTTGGAATAATGGGTCTATCATTTGATAACGAAAGATGCAAGATCACTGCTTCGTTATTTGGAAGACCATGATTCAGAGTAATACTTATTCATGCACTATAAGCTTTAGATTCACTGGCTTCGCTTTCATTAGATCTAACTTGTGAATATTGATCGTTAACGAATAATGAATTACAATAGTTTTTCTTATACTAAAGACATTTGTTGCTTTATTACGATGGAATATATATATAGACGTTTGGTTGTGTTTATTCAAATATTTTACTGATCAATGGTCTTTAATAAATTTCGATTGCTACTGATCATACTCTTCCCTATATGTTTTCAGATGAGAAGAATCAGATATTACTAGTATTCATACCAGATCTCTTAATCTACTCTATACTAGAATTTGACTTTTCGACTTATTATTATTGTAAAAAAAACTTAACTTGAAATTCATAGAAATTTCTGAATTACTTATAAAAACAATAGATGATATATAGGATATTCAATTGTAGGTGTTTTGTAATACTCTCTTCTTTTTATATAAATTCAGAAAAAGCCCAAACTAAAAGCATTCAGGCAGATGTAGACAATTACTATAGACGTCGGCATGAACTGACACAAATCTTTTGCAATTGTTGTACAGATTTCTACCATCAACAATCCACCAGTAACTACTAACGTCCCATAAAATCAGATCTATCCAGTTGCCTTGCTTTTCAGCTTGCGGTAGCTTATTTCAAAAGGGAGACAACGGTTGGATCGAAAGTAGTGACTGCCTGTGCCAAAAACTTAGTGACCGAAACTCTCCTCATAGCACATCAGGCACGATTCAATTATTTCTAGAAAACAACTTTCTAAAATCAGCACATCTATCAAGAGCTACATTTTCATGAATACCTGTCATGACCTTTTCATTAAAAATACATCAGCTTAACAGATCTCCAGTGAAATGAGGTGCACAATATTACTGAATAGCCGATCACACATGAAATCAATTAGAATAGGGACCCTACTTTCGTTGAGATCTCTATCAGACCGCGAACAAAATCTCACTTCACACGTATTGAGACACAAAATTGACTACAACGAGCGAACCACATTCCTAAAGAGCCAAGCTAACAGGGTATAAAATCTAACTTCAGCACCAATCAGGTCGTATACTAAGAACAGTGGGGTGATCGGTTTAATACAGCGGCCCGTCGTACAGGATGCAGAGTTTGACTTAATCCTCCATGCACCCATCTTCTAAAAAACAAAGGAGGATCGCTTTTATCGAAAGCACAGTCACACAGGATATTGGATCTCACCTGATAAACTATCAAGCTCCATCTTATTAAAGAGCGGCAATGCGCTTTACTAAGAATCCAGTTATACAGTGTATTCAATTTTACTGCATAACTCATTAGGCTGCGTCTTATTAATAAGCGGCG